GGGATTTCTTTTCCTGAAAGGTCTTTGGAAGATACAACTTCAATACTCAAAAAGTTCAGTAGGGAATAGCAGATCTTGTATAAAAGTAATCAAAAGCGGTTATCTGTCCTAAAAACCCTTCCGTGGAGCTTTCTCTACAGGCCAAGAGCGGCCTCGTTTTCTTGTGAAGAATTGTACCCGCATTGTAGTTTCAGATTAATGAAGGCAACATTATTCCATTAAACCTTCCCCAATCGTGTTTTGTATCGAATACAGCGGGATTCGTATAGTCACGTCTATGTCCAGAAAATAGCAAGATAGATTATTGGGTACGCTTTTAGACCTTTCACATTTAGGGTTTTAGTAAGATTACTCTACTGTTGCTATTCTGTCTGGGCAACCATTAAACTTGAATGTAAACTGTCTTCGGTTACATTCTGAAAAGTGAAAATGTCCCAACCCCAACGGCACTTTACTATTTTACACATAATTATCGAAGTGCAAAAGAGGATATTTTAATTAATCTGCCTCCCTTACATAGTCGATAATTAATGCTCCCGTAATCGATGGCATTCCATTTTAATGGAAGTTGTGGAGTAAAAACAATTGAACATTACGGGAATCGTGCGGAATCGAAAATTCTCATTCTCCAATGTATTGTGCTGGTAAATAAATGTGACAATGGATATTGATTACCTCTTAATGAGGTGGAAAGTTCAAATGGAGGACGTAAGTAGAATGACCTACGTAATTACGGAAAATCTATAGGCACATCTACGTTATAGGGGGCGTTTTTCATTTTACCATAATGTACTTATAGTTTTTTATACATTTGCTTGATTATAAGTAGGTGAGGTGTGATTTTTCACAATTTCCTGGGTGTACCGACTAAAATTTACACCCCGTACTAGACGAATCTCCGGAAAATTCGTCAAGTAAAAATCCTCTCCTTGACAATTCCTTTAAACAGTTTAGTGGTAAAGCTGTGACTCCACCATTTAATGTGATCGAACACTAATTTTGATTTCCATCATGTAACAGGGGTTGCATGTGTTTTTACTTTTTACGGTAATGATACCTGAAATAAAGAAAAGTTTGTTTGTATATAATACCCCGCACGCATTCGGGCGACATTCAAAAATAAAAAAAATCTTAGAACTACTTCATTTTTTTCAGTAATCCAAATAATCTGGCCGTACACCCATACGCTTAAAGCTTCTGAAATGAACATTGTAAAATAATTTCAGGACTTTCAAAAACACCACTAATTGGACTTTTCGAAGGGACGCGTTAATTAATTTTAAACCGACAAATCCTTATCGCAATTGACCTGATGTGTCATACACGCAATTTCACGTTTTACAATTAACTACACAAATTTAAATAAGCAATTTACAGAAGCGATAAAATTTAAACAAGAATAATGCATTTAACAAAATTTCTAAAAGGAAAAAAGTAACAAATAACAAAGTCCCTGAAAGACAGCGTTGGGAGATTTTCAATATTACAACGTTTCCTTTCGGAGAAATCATCATCAACTTTATCTTTATATGGTCTGTAAAAAAGTACATACTGTATATCTTTTATTACGAATACAACGATGGACGGCACATAAAAAAAACAAAAGTTGGAAAGTGTTGGTTTCAACAGGATGGTGCACCCACGCACAACGCCCTAATCGTGCGGAAATTAAGAAATTAATTAATGAAGGGTTGTTTAAGGGTTGGTTACAGATTATTTAAACATAATCTATCAAAGAAGCAAAAATGTTCGGTGTACTACGTAAAGTTACAACCCCCGCAATATATAAGAGTGTTTTACATGCTGGTATGAATGACTAAAAAATTTCGCAAATTTAAAGCAGACGGAAATTTATTATTAAAGGGTGGTTTAAGGGTTGGTTACAGATTATTTAAACATAATCTATCAAAGAAATAAAAATGTTCGGTGTACTACGTAAAGTAACAACCCCCGCAATATATAAGGGTGCTTTATTTTTTTATTTATTTTTTTTTTTTTTTGTTAAGTACGACTTCGACTGCTAAGGTCTTTTCGTCTACTTCTAATCACTTGTAAGTTCTTACTACTGCCGCATTATATTTTGTTGTACATATTAATCAATTTTAGGTAGTCAAGAGTGCTTCTTATCCGGTCATCGCTATTAAGATTATCAGGTAAGTTTCTCATTAATTTCTTTTCAGCTCTTTGGTGGTTATGTGCTGCACAGTCGCAAATTATGTGCGTTACACAAGGGTGCATCGAGGCCCTTCAGCAGATGTTCGTGTGTAACCTTTACATGACCAATCCTCAGCCTGTGTGTTTTGACCATATCTGCTCTGGACATATGTTTAATGTAAAACATTCCTCTTACTTGCCGTTTTACTCTGGTAAGATTTGTATTCGCTGCTTGCCACTTATGTTGCCATGTGTCTAATATCTTTTCTTTTAGATATGTAAATGCGTCCGTTTTTTCCATCACGTCAACGTCTACTTGTGGATGTTCAGAAGCTTCTCGTGCTGTTCTGTCTGCAAGCTCGTTGCCTGGTATACCTGCGTGTCCTGGCACCCAAATAAATATGATTGATACATTTTTGTTGTTTAGATTTCATAGTTCGGATTGGGCCAGTTTAGTTAAAGCATTATTGGAATAAATTTGTGTTAAGTCTGTTAATGCATTTATATTATCACTTGCAATAATAAATCTTTGAGTTTCAGACAACGAGGAACAGTGCTGAAGAGCTTTCCAGATGGCATATCTTTCTGCGAATCCTATAGTCGACTGCGGGTTTAAGGTCCATTTATTTGTTATCTGCGAGGCGATCGCACATCCTACTCCATTCCCAGATTTAGACGCATCGGTAAATATGATGTCGTATTCTCCATACTCACTACATATATTTGTAAATTTCTGTTGAAATGTATCGAGTGGGGTTTCTTTGCGTTCGAGTAATAAGAGATCACTTCTAATTACTGGTTCTGATAGCTTCCATGGACTATGTTCTTGTATTTGTTCCTCTAATAAGGGAGGTAGCATTATGTTGTTACGCTCTATATATTCAGAGAAACGCACGACAGCTGGCCTAATTATTGTTGGTCTTAACCTAAACATAGTTTGATCTGTTTCTAAAATGGAGTTATTCGGATGTGCTGGTAGTGCTTTTATTTTTGTGAAATACTTCATCAGTATACAATTTCTTCTTGTTTCTAGCGATGTCATACCCGATTCGCACTGTAAGCTATCTATTGGGCTGGTAGGAAAAGCGCCAAGTGATATCCTTATCGCAGAATGATGTATTTTATCAAGTTTGGATATAAGTGATTTTCTCGCAGACGAGTATACTATGCAGCCATAGTCAATTCTGCTCAGAATTAATGTGTGGTATATCTTCAACAAACTTATGCTGGTATGAATGACTAAAAAATTTCGCAAATTTAAAGCAGACGGAAATTTATTATTAAAGGGTGGTTTAAGGGTTGGTTACAGATTATTTAAACATAGTCTATCAAAGAAATAAAAATGTTCGGTGTACTACGTAAAGTAACAACCCCCGCAATATATAAGGGTGCTTTAAATGCTGGTATGCATGACTAAAAGATTTCGCAAATTTAAATCAGACGGAAATTTATTATTGAAGGGTCGTTTAAGGGTTGGTTACAGATTATTTAAACAATTTCGCAAATTTAAAGCAGACGGAAATTTATTATTAACGGGTCGTTTAAGGGTTTGTTACAGATTATTTAAACATAATCTATCAAAGAAATAAAAATGTTCGGTGTACTACTTAAAGTTACAACCCCCGCAATATATAAGGGTGTTTTACATGCTGGTATGAAAGACTAAAAAGTTTCGCAAATTTAAAGCAGACGGAAATTTATTATTAAAGGGTCGTTTAAGGGTTGGTTACAGATTATTTCAACATAATCTATCAAAGAAACAAAAATGTTCGGTGTAGTAGATATTAAAGGCCTAATTTGCCTTATTTCTACAAAAAATGAGCTGTTCACATTTTGTTTGTTGTGTTGTAACATACTAATTTTCTCAAGTAACAAACAAGGGTGTTATTAATTATCCTGCGAAAAATGAAATATGGTTAGGCTGTACGACAGAAATAAAAATAATTAATTTACATTGTCAAAGGAAGAAATTTCAAAGCAAAATATTGTTAATTAACACGTTCTCCCTCCTCTTATGCAAGTTTTGAAGAACCTAAAGTGCAACTCGCTTTAAACGAGCCTTAATAAGATAATGAAATTTATAGAGTGTCATTTACATTGGATCCTCCATAGGCTTTAGCGGCTAAAACGGAAGCCGTAATAAATCAACTGGGATAAACTGGACTTCAACAATCAATATTCTTAGTTTACGCCATTAACAAATTGAAGTATCTTTGCGTGACGGTTCTCAAATTTATTTAATTCCGTAATGTTTCCGAAATTTAGGGCACACACATTTCTGAGAGTATTGGCCGTGGCAGCACCCTTTCAATCTCGTATATTGGGTCATATCTAGATCCTTCACTCAACGGTCATATGCTATTATTGTCCTTGACCAATTTATCTAAGCGGAAAGGTCTGGTGCAGTTTACGAAGCCCCCTCTTTTCTTTGGTTGTCTGAAGAGAGTAAGCGAGCTTTGACAATTGTCTTTTAATTATAACGACATGCAGTTTTAGAATACAATACAGTGCAGTCGTATTATTATGTAATCATATATCCTCCTAGCGCTAAATAATGGTTTAAATCCGCCATTTATTTTAACAAGTAGTAATAAAGGAACCTTGACTAATCTATTGACGTGAATTTTTTTTCATTTGATAATTACATACAAACCACTGTTCTCAAATAATTTAATTGCGATTAGAAATTGAGAGAGGCAATTGGAGGACAAACGATCTTGTAATTTGAAAGGCTTTTTTTTACTATTTTGTTGCATCTGTAGCGTATATTTTCAATAATTGCTGCTTAGGTAGGGACTACGCTGCTAGGTATATAAGGTAGAAACTCGTAGCATTCGGTGAACAAAATGAACCGCGACAAAATAGTCTTGAGCAGTAAGGCCCAGTGCCTCCTAGATTCGCTGATTAGCGAGCTCGGCATCGAGAATTACACCCTGAGCATCACGCTAGGGCACGCAAGGGGTGATAATTACTTAGGCGTTATCGCCAAAGTACACGTGAAAACCGACAGTGCGTCTTGGTATTGGATTATTAAGTGCGCTCCAGAGGCAAGCCAGTTCAGAGTTTTCGTTCCCGTTACAAAAATATACGTACGCGAAGTGTACTTTTACGAAAAAATTCTCACGGAATACCAAAAGTTCCAAGAGGAAAAGGGAGTAGTACCATTTCGGTCGTATGCCAAATACTACACCTCTTATTTGGAAGAACCATACGAAACTATAATTATGGAGGATATGAAGGCGGTGGGTTACAAACTGTACAACCGACAAGATCCTTTGGATTACGAGCACGCTTTGATGGTGATGCGCGAATACGGCCGTTTCCACGCCATTTCGTTCGCAATACGCGATCAAAAACCCGATTTATTCCAAGAATTTCAGCGAAACCTGCCGGAAGTGCTCTACGACATCCTAGCCGATAACGACGCCAGTAAGAAACTAATACAAAGTCAGTGCAGCCGAGCTAGAGATTCTCTGGACGAAGTGAACAATAAACGTGTCTACGATAAATTCGCAGATTTTGAAGAGCACATGTTTAAACTTGTGGAAAAAGCGATTGCGACAGATGCTGCAGGTCGTTACGCTGTCATCTCGCACGGTGACTGTTGGATAAACAACATTCTCTTCAAGTACTCGGTAAAACTCAACCCTCCAAAGATCCGCAACTAATACGTTCTTTCAGACAGGTCAACAGTACCCAACAGATCTCTGCTTCATAGATTGGCAAATGTCCAAAGTTGGTTCTCCGGTCTTGGACCTATCCTTCTTTCTCTTTACGACCACGGACAAAAAGCTGCGAGATCAACATTACGATAACTTGCTCAAGGAGTACCACCGCAGCCTGTCTTCGTTTCTAATCGAACTGGGAAGCGACCCGGAAGTTCTTTACCCCTTTCACATTTTGCAAGAACATTTGAAAACGTTTTCGGTTTACGGTTTATTTATGGCCATACAAATTCTGTATTTCATGGTTAGCGACGAAAACGAAATTCCCGATATACACAATTTTACAAGTGAGGAGGACGCGTTCGAACAGATGCAGTATGTTCCAAAGAATATCGATAGGTATAATGCGAGAATTCAGGATATTGTGTTCGATTTTGACAAACTTGGTTATGATTTTTAATTGTAAACTGTGAGATGGGTTTTCCGGACCAAGGGTGAATCGAGTTTTTACTACATTATTTCTACCCAAACCGACGCGGACCATGCGATGCGGTGGCTCGGACGCATACACCACTGTAGAAATATATCCCGCATCTCCGCATCGGTTTGAGTGGACCTTTAGAAGGCTAAAAGACGTATGTTTGACTTGTATCAGCAGATTCCTAAAAAACCATTTAGGCCGTACTGCTAATTAGATCAGAAGGGTTACCCCACTTCTTGTAAAAGGTTCAACAGTCATAGGTGATGGAAAAATATTGGTATCGCCCATAAACTATAAAGTGACCATCGATTATTACAGAATGGCAGTCTCTAGCATATAGTATTCTAAAGGGAAATAATCCTCTTTTTTCCGTTACAAGGTCATATTTCATGGAAGATATATCTATTATGTTAAGTGTTATTTATTATATCATATTTATTTATAGCATTATTTTTCAGTACCATATTCATTACTATTTATTAACGATTCTCGAGATCGTTTATAATTTTGTATTGCTGTCTGTCTGTTCGTGTGCAGGATAACTTCGTGTAGAAACGTCCGATTGCTTTGAAAATTGATATACACGTTCTTCGGGATATATGAAAGGTCGCTATTGCGTTTCAGCTACGTAGACCAACGGGCCAAAAAGTTACAGCCCAATAGCTGCCCAAACCTCCAAAAAGGGGTTCTTTTATAGCTCTTGTTACAAAGAAGATATGAATGTCGGGCAGATGAAAAAAAAAATATTGCGCATGCGCATTCCAACTTTTGTATGTAGGAAACTCGAATGAAAGTAAAACTAACGCCGATTTAAAAAATTTGTGGGACAGAAACAACCCCTTAAGGTGTATTGTAAAAATGCTGTATGTGTGAAGATCTCGAAGATCGTTCAGTATTCAGTTGTATCGGATTTTTGCAAATAATTTCACGCTACCAAAAGGAACAAGCGCTATTACGGAAATAGTATGGATTACAGAAACTGTGAAATACGGATAGAAAGGTCCACGATGGAAGTTTGCCTGGCTTTCGTACCTTAACCTAAATCTACCTATATAAAATTCTCGCCTGGAGTGTTGGACCCGGTGGCCGGTGTCCTCAATTTGTAAATCAATTTCCAAACACTATAACATAGCAATACGTAACAGGTTAGCGAAATTTATCTTACAAATCCAGGACGCAGGGCCAACTCCTCTTGCTGTTAAAAAAACAGTCTAGGCCGACATTTTTATAAAACTATTTTTCACCAGCTGCCAAATTAAAGAATTAAAATGCATCTTCAGCTATTAAATATTTCTCACACATGAAAGTTTAAGGTGAAAGGTGACTTTACGCCAACTCTTCAGTTACCTACCTCGAATGAAATTGCACGAAGAGCATTTTCAGCTAAACATATTTCATCTAGCCCTGAAGGTCGCTATGTATTTTCAAAAAACCGCAAAAAGTCACGAAAATTGATAATTTTCGCCTCTTGTATGAATTTCCTAGGCTAAGAGGTACACCTAGGCTAACTTCTGACTCTCTACCTTGTATGAAATTTCACGAAAAATATTTTCAACCAAAAATATTTCATCTAGACCTCATAGATCGCGAGATATCAGCCAAAAAGGTCGAAAACACGGTTTCTTGGGGGTGGTGGGGTGGCTGGAGCCTTTAGCACAGGGTCTGGGAGGTGGGATTTTTAATATGTTGTTGCTGACACCTAACTGAACATATTTCACCATTTTTTTCTTTTCCACCTCAAAATGTCCAGTTTGCCAATTTTACAGTCTCTATCGCCTAGACTATTATTCAAAAAGTATTGTATGTTTGGGCGTTGTTTGCCACCGTCGACGTAGTTCGGCATTGGTGTGCGAAAAAAAAACCTTTCCTTCTGAGACAGACGAGCTCGAGCTATCGCATTTAGCTTGCTCGGCATGGGTATGCACTTCGCATTTTGTAACGGGAGCCCGTATGCCGCTGTTGATTTATGCTAACCTCGCCTTCGGCTCGCTCGGTATTGGTATGAACTCTGGGTTTATGACTGGAACCCTATAACACGGTCAATAAGGTCGGGCGAGCGATTAGTTTATGCCGATCTTGCCTTCGGCTCGCTCGACATTGACATGAAACCGTTTAACGCTTCAGAATTTCGGGCGAGCGGCTGATTTACGTATGGTTTGGTTTAATTTAATTCTTTTGCGCACAGTCGACATTTTGAAAGCTTCAAAATGTTTAGTAACTTTAGGTAATGAGGAAAATGGACCTAAAACCTTGATGATTTTTACCTACCGTATCGCCAAAAAACCGCTTCACTGATGACACCACCGGTTCATGTTTTGAGGGCTTTTATTGCAAATTTAAGGAAGAAAGAGTGAAAAGATTAAATTTTAATCATATGAATGTCATCTTAACTTTTCACGGAAAACTCGATTCCGTCGAGAAACTTAACGGATCACAAACGGGCGATCAAAAATGAGTTGCTGTCGAGTCGCCTTTGGAAGTTCAAGTTAAGTACAATTTCCCATGAAAAACAAAAGTTCCAAAGGTGACTCGACAGCAACTCATTTTTGATCGCACAGTATTGTATTACGAGTATGTTATATTATATAATATTGCATTGTATTGCATTACATTGAAATATTGAAAAATTACTTTGAGATTTTCGTCCCTTTAGCAAACATTTTTTTCTTTGGACACTTCCAGTTCTAATCTATAACGAGTGTAGTACGGGCAGGATTTCCGAATTTCATGAATGCTATACTTAAGAGAGGGTGAACATTAGAAACCAATGTCATTGTTTAATAATTATTTACATAAAAGTCAGGAAAATAACACATTACTGGCGAGGGAAGATTGAAGTGCGAGGCTCCTTTAGGGTCGAATACTTTAATTTCCGAGTCAAGTAATGTCATTTTACTGACGAATTTTGTATTAAATTTTACCCAAAATCGTATTTTAAGATAAAATGTCAATTTAGACATTTGAAAATGTCAAAAATGCGTCCGGTAAAGTGACAGGTGTGGCGAGTAAAGTGACAAGCGGTAGGAAATGCAGTCTGTTTTGCCTCTGTCATGGAAACTAAAATTTTCTGACAGAAAGTAGGCATGAAAATGAAGGTTTCAGGACGATTTTGGGTGAAAGTATTTAAACGATGCCAATGTTAAATAAAAGACGTATTGCTTCTTCTTTATAGAGAATTGCGAAAGGCAAGGTGTTTAATCATAGAGTTGGTATGTTTACGGGCCAATAAATAAATTCAAAAGTTGCGTAATGTACAAAATTTGGAATGAGCTATGTTAATCAATCGGAACATCGGTACTTATTCAAATCGACGTTAAGAATGCATTCAATTCTATTGAAAGAGATATTTTGCTTCAAAATGTAAAAAACACAATTCCACAATTGTATCCATATCTTTGGCAATGCTATTCTTCTCCGTCTGATTTAATTTATAATTAAAGATTAATTCATTCAGCTACTGCTTGCCAACAAAGAGACCCTCTTGGCCCAGCAATCTTTGGCCATGCATCCATTTATTAAAAAACTTAAATCTAAACTTAATGTATGGTATCTAGCTAGACTACGGAACCTTAGGAGGCTCTCCTATTGAAGTTTTTCAAGATCTCGAAAACGTAATTCAGGATTTCAAAGAGATTGGCTTAACTTTGAATTTTTCCAAATGCGAGTTATACTTCAATAAGAATGATTCAAAAGAAAAAAATTGAATCAATTCACAGAAAATTTGAATCTCTTGCTCCTGGAATGCGTGTCACTTTTGCAAGAGTGGTGTACCTTTAAGTGAAGAAGCATTCCCGTCGGTTGCTTCCATACTTATGGAAAAATTTTGCTGTCTATCTAAAAATCTTCACAACATTAATTCTCATCTCATTCGTAGTTGTTTCTGGATACCAAAACTAAATTACTTCTTACGCTGTTTTCCGTTTTGGAAACATCAACAGGTTTGTGACTCTTCTGATCTTACAATTGGAAATAAACTACAAAACCTTCTTAACATACAACTTACTGACAACAGTTAGAATCAGGCATCACTTCCAGAACGTTTAGAAGATTTAGGCATTCATTCCATCTCAGATTTATCATTACCAGCTTTTCTGGCTTCTGTTCATTGTACTTCCAATCTTGTCGGAATAATTCTTAATTCAAACGTTGAGATTTAAATTTTTTGGAAAACAGAACACCCTGAGTTAAATTTACCTACAACACCAAATTTTCAGAAAAGTTGGGATTCTTCTCTTATGCAAGAAAGTTTTAAAATATTATAATCTCATCCTCATGCCCTACATATAGCTGATTTACTTGCTTCATCACAACCAGAGTCTGGTGTCTGGTTAAATGCATTACCTTCAGTACAACTTGGTACTTTATTGGACAAACAAGCTTTACAAATTGCAGTCTCTTTAAGGATTGGTTCAAACATTTGCCATATGTATTTGTGGTGCTTTTGTTAATTCTTTAGGACATCATGGTCTATTTTGTTCGAAAAGTTCAGGTAGATTCTCACGACATAGTGGCATAAATAACATTATAAAACGGACTCTGTTATCAATTGATACTCCAAATTTATTAGAACCATGTGGACTTTTCCGAACGGATGGTAAACGTCCAGACGGAATGTTTTTAATTCCGTGGAAAAAAGGACATATGATTTTGTTCCTTTCGCCATTGAAACCATATGAACCTGGAGCGAAGGAGCCAAAACATTGTGGCTTGAAATAGGTTCCTTGCTGCAAACAAAAACTAGAGTTCGTCAAGCCAAAACATATCTCCAACAACAAATAAGCTTGGCGATACAACGCGGCAATGCAGCAAGTGTTTTGGGAACATTGCCGCGAGGGATTGGAATGGGGGATACTTACAAAAATAATATATTTTTAATTATTTATTTAAGGTATTTTCACTATTTAATTTAATACTTGATTAAATTTTTATAAAAATTTAAAAAAAATTAAAATTAACACTCAATGTAGGTTTTTAGCGCATTTTTGAAAAAAAAAACGCTATTATATTCGTTAAGGCTGGGTGGCTGGCTGTCCGGCTGAGATCTCAGTAATTACAATAGCTAGAGACTTCAAATTTTCACTAAAAGCTTTCTGATGTAGTGTAGATGTGCAGGCTCTAGTCTATTTTGAGTTAGATTACTCGTGAGATCGATAATTTATTTACAACTTGTTTAAATTATAAGCGACAAATAAGTTATTCAAATTTTAAATCAATAAAATATAAATGAGAGCATAAAAGGAACAATAATAACATAACTAACGTTGTCTGCCATACTTTTCGATAAAAAAACGAAAACCCCACCGAGTAGTTTTTTGCGTGGCACGGTGTTTCTTTTGTTTTAAAGCCAACTTGCCATTTGCCATTAAAATTTGTGAATGTGTGTATTTTCGCCATATTTATGCTTAGGAAACAGATATCAAAATGCGGTTTTCACTGATATTTTC